TTTCCTCGAATCAGCAAAACCACTGAAGACTGGATTTCCACACAGTGTCCTGCAGCCCAGAAACCCTTTCCAGGCAGTGAGCTGGGGCAGTCATAGGGCTGTTGCTTTGGAAGGAAAGATCCCTTTTGGATTGATATATTGGCTTTATGAATTAAGAATATTTGAGGGCTTCCCTGGTGGCGCAGTGGTTGAGAGTCCACCTGCCGATGCAGGGGACATGGGTTCGTGCCCTGGTTCGGGAAGATCCCACATGCCGTGGAGCGGCTGGGCCTGTGAGCCGTGGCTGCTGAGTCTGAGCGTCCAAAGCCTGTGCTCCGCAACGGGAGAGGCCACAACAGTGAGAGGCCCGCGTACCGCAAAAAAAAAAAAGAGTATTTGGGAAAATATTAAAAACTAATACTTTTGGGCAGGTCTGAGTTTTGTCACCCATCCTACAGCTTCCTAGTCCTCTGTGTAACTAGTTTGTTCTTTCCCCAGTACTACTTGAGGGTGTTTATGTTTTGTTTTTATCAACAGGAGGAGAAGGCAAGATTGAGATTAATCAGAAGCTAAGGCTAGAATCTATGGGACTTGAAGAGCTTGCCCTAGAAAAATACTCCATTGCTATGCCCCTTGTCTATTACCCAGAAAAATCCTCTGAGCATGGAGTTGGAAACCTTGAAAGGAAAATGTCAGGTAGAACTCCTGCTTGCAAGAAAAGGTTCATAAGCCTTTTAGTTACCATTGAAAACCACACCCCTTTGATAGAACTATCTCAGTGTTTAGGAACCAGAGCACTTTCTGAAATTCTTGAATTTCCTGGGGAAGAAGCCAAAAATTCATACAAGTGTCCTGAATGTGACCAAAGCTTCAGTGATAGCTCATACCTTGTTTTGCATCAGAAAACGCATTCAGGAGAGAAAAAGTATAAATGTAGTGACTGTGGGAAGATTTTCAATCACAGAGCCAACTTGAGAACACACCAGCGAATCCACACCAGCGAGGAACCATTTAAGTGTGCCGAGTGCAGCGGCAGCTTCCGCCAGCACTCACATCTGTCTCGGCACATGAATATCCATGTAAAGGAGAAACCCTACACCTGTGGCATATGTGGAAGAGGTTTCATGTGGCTCCCAGGATTGGCACAGCATCAGAAAACCCACGCTGCCAAAAAAGCCTGTGGTAAATATTTTGGTCAGAAAACAAATCTGGCTTTGCCTGAGAAAAGGCACGGGTCAGCCAGCCAGCACCCATGCAGTCTGAGCAGGAAATGCTTTGGGCAGCCCTCGCACTTGGCCCTCCCCGAGTGGGGCCATGAGGACAACCCTGAACACTGCAGCGACTGGGGAAAATTTGCTTTCGTTCTCAAAATTCAAACCCTTAAAGCATCCTGAGTGTTCGCTGACCTTTCTTCGTATCTCTGAGCTTATCTCCCATCAAAGCATTCACAGAGGGGAAAAGCCCCATAAATGCAAACCCCGTGCAGAAAGTTTTATTTCGGACTCAGAGCTTGCATGCCACCAGAATAACCACACAGGAGAACCTTTTAAATGTACCATGTGTGGGGAAAGTTTCAGGTTGAAAACACATCTCATTGTCCATCAGCAAACCCCTGCGCAAAACACCACGTAAATATAGCAAGTTTTCATTAATGCTTGTGCTTCTCAGTATTTATACTGAAAACTGGGGCACAATTACCCTTTATGTGCCAGGTACTGTGCTAAGCATTTTACACACATTCCATGTAATATATCATTTAATTTTCACCACAACCTTGATTTAGGCACCATGATTTCTGTTTTATAATCGAGGAAGTATAGTCAGTGTCACAGCTACTGAACAAAGCCAGAATTCTAACTCAGTAGCTCAGTTACTATCCAGATTCCATTTGTATGAGCCGGAGAAAGATACAGAACTTATAAAAAAAAATTCAGTTTTCACTAAAATGAAGGTTATTGTTAGAGTTCTTTTCATTTTGTTTACATGATTTTTAAGTAAGTTTTAGAAGGCAAATTTATTTATTGTTTGCTAGTTCTGCAGATCTAGGATCTAGGAAAGTAAGTACCTTTATATATATTTTATACTTTTTTTTTTGCTGTAACAATCAGAATGTAATGTTTGTATGAGATTATTGTTTTACATATGAATTTCTGGAGGGGTTTGGAAGCTTTTTTCCGTGCATGTGAAGTGTTCCCAAATGGGTTGGACTAGTTAGTGTCGAGATGGCTGTTAGTATCCGTGAAGTTAGTATCCATTCTCAGATCTAATGCCACTGGCCTTTGTGATTCAAGTGTTTGGAAGGAATTTTAGCATTCTGACTACAGCCCTTTCTGGTGCGTGGACTTGAGCAATGGAAAGGTACTTGCTTCTCTCTAAGAGGATTTACCTCCAAGTCTCTACCAAAGCACATTACCTGCCTTGCTATGAATAACAGTAAGCCTTGTTTAGTGTGCATGCTCAATACTTCAGGTATATTATTTAATTTAATCTTCAGAATAAATCTGACAGAAAAGGACTATCCTCGTTTTGTAGATGAGTAAGTAGAGCCCATGGAGGGTACAATCAGTACAGCCCATGGAGGGTACAATCAGTACATTGCCCAAGACACAAAAGTAGCAACATGCTGAAGCCAGCATTTAACCTCTGGTCTCTGCCGTCAGAGGCCATGTGTTCAGTGACACTGCTATGTGGGCATTTGCACCACATGTTAAAACTGCAGGCAGCTGGGGGACTGAGATCGGTGGGTGAGGATGGTTATTATGGAGGCTACCCTGTGCACGTGCTTCACTCCCTTAGTGCTTCATCCCAAGCCTGACTTACGTGTATGGTTACAAAGCAACTGAAAGACTGTTCAGGACTTGAGGTTCAAACTCCATCCCTATAATCAGAGATTGCAAACTCTACAGAGTATAGTTTTAGTTTAGTTTAGGTTTTAGTTGAGTTTGGTTTAAGAAAAAAGTTTTTCTTCCTCATATCCAGAGAAATATACATATAGAAAATGTTAGAGCTTAATCAAAATACTTGAAAATATATAGGTCTTTAGATACTGCTGTTACATGTAAATACTGGAGCAAAATATTGTTAAATGGAATGGTTATTAATGTTAAAGAACCAGGGGATCTTGTAAATGTTACATTCATGTGGAATTTCTCTTTAAAGCAAAATTGTATACCTATCAGCAAAGCAGCATTTAAAGGGGTTTTTGATTGGGATGTGAGAATGGTCTTATTCTACATAAATGGTATAAAAGTATGGCTAAAATGGGGTTATCACTGGGAAATCTCAGGAATAATAATATACCTCTTTAGGACTAATTTGAGGAAAGTAGTACCTGGAAGGTAGGGTCTTTCTACTGAACAGCAGATTGAGAACCAAATGTACAAAAAGGTGCTGGCTACTGCTGTAAGCTCTTAACAGTGATTAGAGGCAGGAAGATTCTGTTGGTGAGGAAAAGGGAAACCAATAGACCTAACCCAGCTCACCCACTCCTTTCCCCCTTTTCCTCCTTCTTCTTTTGCTTGTTTGCAGATCCACAGTTGAGACCCTGTGCTCTGTATGTCAAGGTCACACTTGGCTCATTGTTTCCGATGTCTCCACTCTTAGGATACAGGACACCAGTCTGCCGGGCCTTTGGGGTCTCAAATAAAAAAGCGAGGTCTCCTATAGGTTCTTCTTCAGCAAGTCTCTCTGTCTGAGGTGTTTAGAATTGTGTAGAAAGATGGTCTCCAGTTAGGTTTCTTATCAGCCAGCTCTGGGATATAAAGACCTTTGCTAACTATCAGAAAGTACTGCCTCCCTGCTTTCCTGCTTCTGCCTTCCGTGGGAGCAGCTGGCACAGTGTACCATTGGCACATAGTAGGGGCTCCCATATTTCAGTTAACTGAAGAGTTGCAGGGTCGGGGATGAAATTGGGAAAGAGGTCCCTAGTAGCAGAGTTGCTGCAGAAAGAAGTAGAGAAGACTATTTTAGAAGGCATTTGGACAGAGTGGTGCTGACCTGAAACATGGAAGCTGTCATCCTTTCCTTTGCTCCTAAGAAAGTACAGGGGAAGGTGAAAATTCATACCATAAATGACATTCTGCACTCAGCATGGGAAGTTACCTTTCCAGATGAGGTTTTCTTCACAATTAACTTCAGTTTTTACATTTTTGTTTTCTAGATTTTGGAAGATTATGCCAAACCTCCATAAGAGATTAGAAAAATATATTTTATAAAGACATTAATATATACATGAGTATAATTAAAATGCCTTTTTGGTGTAATATTGTTAATGATTGTTATGCGGAGGAAAAAAAAATCCCTGAGTGTCAGCTACTGTGAAAGAGGCATCTTTTGAGTTGTTGCTTTATTGTGCACTTGCACCTAAATCCATTTGCTGGATGTAATTCGAGCTGCTCTGAGCCCAAGGAGTTGAAGGAAGCGGTCAGTATTCATCAGTGAGACCCATGCTGGTTTTATGCAGATGGATTTTTCACCCTCTATTTACAGTGTTAACTGACAGATTCCACAGATGGTCATTAATTCAGAGACATCATGTAGCCTACCATGTTACTTTCAATGAATACTTGGATGAAAGTTAATATAGGGATGAAAAACTAAATGCAGGAGTTTATTGCTAGGAACAGTTGGTTCACATTTTGCAGCATGGATGTTGACACAGGCAGAGTGAAAACTTTGTACTGAAGAATTCAATTGTTGAACAAATTTCTTTGGTTTTGTTGTTGATGCAGTGATGAAAATGTGTATTAAAGTCCTTAATTGCTGGACTATCAGGTTCTCTAACATACATCATTGATGAAACAGCATTATTCCAATAGCATGCAGATGTTAACAGTTTACATTTTGTAATTAAAGAAACTGGAATTTAATTGTTATTGTTGAAGGAGTTGAACTCAAAATAGTTTTGTTTACAGCGTTGTTGCAGTAGGTAATAGTCTATTCACATTTCTGCATTTAACATAGAAAATGACTAACCCAGTAATTCAGGGAGTTAAAACTAAAAACAAGTGACATTTCACAGCAAATGCTGTTCTGAGTCTTTGACTCCTGTGATTCCATATAATTAAGTGGCATTGTTCTGATGACTGCAGCATGTCATACAATCTGATACTGCAGATTTTGCTCAAAGTAATCTGCCAATTTACTGCATATGTGTACTAAGCAGGTTATAGTTTATCTGAATAAAGAGTCTATTTCAAAGTGTTCATTAAACTTGTTAAGCCTATAGGATTTCCGTTGGAAAGTGTTTTTGCTTGGACATCTGTTTAAAAAGTAACTAAATAATCTTCATTAGAAGTATTTATATTCATCTGTTTTAGTTTTGTAGATAGAGCTATTGATCTGATATCAGGATGACCATTATCCATCTTTTCACGGCCTGACTTCAGGTGTTTTGTCTTATTTTTTGACAGCCTTCCTTGTATTAACAATCTAGGGAGTGTGGGGATATGATATAAATATACAGTTATATAAGCCTGAGAATATGCTGCAATCTCTAGTTCCTTTGGATACCTTAGAAGTAATATGTTTGTTGGAGGCACTTGTGCTGTTTGTTTAATGTTTGGATTTTACAGTTTTTGGTGTATTCTCATCAGTCTTAGCTCTAGAGTTCAAGCTCTCACTGGGCAGTGATTACTGTCTGATGTGCGATTTGGCATCTAATAAATGCTTTTTTATGATGATGACAGTGAAGTGAACTTTAAAATTTTTTTTTACACTTTAGTAGTTTGAGATGTCAATGAGATGTGACATTGTATGGCAGGATTGTGGCTTGGAAGGGGTTAATGAGTGACTTCGGCCATTTAATAATAGAGGTAAAATCTTTTGCTCGCCGGAAGTCAGACGAAAACTCCAGCACAGCTCCCGGGAGACGGCATTAGACGTCACCTTCCCTTCCAGTCTTTGCTCCACAACGGCTATACCTCCGGCCACGCAGGCCACCAAAGCCCTGCGTGGGCCGCCGTCTGGAGCGGGGGTTAGAGCTGAGGACTCGTGGAGTAAGGCTCCCAGAAGGCTTTGCGAAGCCTGGGCGACCTCGCGGCGCTCGGCCACCAGCAGCGCAGGCCGGCGGAAACACCAACGAGACGAGACGCGCTAGAGCGGCCCACAAGGCTGGGAATCGAAGGTCCTACGCTTACTTCCGTCGCCCTATTCCGGCGGCAGAGCTGCACGTTCCTGGAGCGGCCGTGGTGGGCGAGGGCGCGGCGGTTGCTCGGCCAGGCTACCGGCCCACCTCCGCCACCCAAGGAGAGGCGGCCTCTGCAGAACCAGAGCGGGGCGGGTGAGAGCGTCTGCGGAGCGGCTCCTCTGGTCTCTCCCTCCGCACTAGCGGGAAGGTTACGTGGGTGGGCCAGCCCGAATCTCGCACTGGTGACGGGAAAAGGAGCCCGGTGCTACCTCCTGGGCCCTAACCTTACTTTGGCAACGCGAAGCTATGGGCTCGCTCTGTTTGTCTCTTAACTTGAAAGGGACGCTTTGAGCTTCTCACTTGTCCTGGGTAGAGTGTCTTCTGCCAACTAAAGAGTGTCGCTGCCGGTCCAGTTCTGCAAGGCTTGAGTCGTTAGCCATTGCAGTCACTGACCTTCAACACGACCCGAAAGGAATTCAGGGCGAAGATCAGGAATGAGGCACTCTGTGCTCTGGGAAAACTGGCAGAGCAGGCCTTCAGAAAGTGAGATATTTTAAGGAGAAAATTTTATGAACCCAAATTCTTGCATCGTCCCATACTTGGAAAAGCACTAAAAGCATTACTGAGATATCTGTTCCTTGTGAATAGCAGTAATCTTCTACGGAGGGGCGTGCTGCATACCTCTTCGTCAAAATCACATATATCCCCCTCCTTATTTCTTCAGAACAGTTTCTCAGAGCTATCTGAGAGGCTGTCTCCCCAGCTGTAGTCCTCAGTAAGACAATGAATAAACTTGACTGACAACTTTTAAGTTGTGTGTTGTTTTAAAAGTACACACTTCTCTCTGGAACCAGCGCCAGTCTCCTCACCTGATTTCTGTGTACTCCACAGCCGAATTCTAACATGCTTTTGGTCAGAGTGTATCTTGGGATCACCTGAATCCATAGTCCCCACTCCCCCTTTCCCGCCCCAACTCCCAAGCGAGCTTAGCCACTTCCATGACTACAAGTACCTCACTTTATGTCTAGCCCCAATTTTTCTTCTCTCCTGCACTCTAGATGCCTGTATTCAAGTGCAAAAGAGATAAATCAGGAGCTTGGGATTAACATACACACACTCCTATATATAAGATAACCGACAAGGACCTGTGTGTATAGCACAGGGAACTCTATTCAGTATTCTGTGATAACCTATATGAGAAAAGAATCTAAAAAAGAATGAAAAATGTATAACTGAATCACTTCGCTGTAACCTGAAACTAACAAAATGTTGTAAATCAACTATACTCCAAAAAAAATTCAAACAAGCAAACAAACAAAAAACAAACACATGCCCAAAACCGAACTCATGCCTTTAGTCCTTTTTAAAAAAAAAAAAAAAAAATTATTTTTGGCTGTGTTGGGTCTTGCTGTGCACGGGCTTTCTCTAGTTGAAGTGAGTAGGGGCTACTTTTTTTTTTTTTTTTTTTTTTTTTTTTTTTTTGCGTTATGCGGGCCTCTCACTGTTGTGGCCTCTCCCATTTGCGGAGCACAGGCAGGCTCAGCGGCCACGGCTCACGGGCCCAGCCGCTCCGCGGAATGTGGGATCCTCCCGGACTGGGGCACGAACCCGCGTCCCCTCCATCGGCAGGCAGACTCTCAACCACTGCGCCACCAGGGAAGCCCCAGTAGGGGCTACTTTTTGTTGCAGTGCGCGGGCTTCTCGTGGTGGTTTCTCTTGTTGCGGAGCACGGGCTCTAGGCACGCGTGCTTCAGTAGTTGTGGCATGCGGGCTCTAGAGCACAGGCTCAGTAGTTGTGGCTCACAGGCTTAGTTGCTCCGCGGCATGTGGGATCTTCCCAGACCAGTACTCAAAACCCATGTCCCCTGCATTGGCAGGTGGATTCTTAACCACTTTGCCACCAGGGAAGTCCCATGCCTTTAGTCCTTCATCTGTCTGCCTCCAGTATGTGGCGCCACATCCACACAATTGCTCATGCTACTAACACACACTCCCTCCTCTGCTCCTCAAACTTTCAATCATCAAGTCCTGTGGATTCTACCTCAAAAGTATCTCTCAAAGCTTACTTCTCTCTGTCTCCACCCTTACCCAACAGCACTGCCCCGGGTTGACAGCAAGGCAGGGACAGGGTTTTGATGTTGTGGGGATGACCATAGCCAGACTCTGCAGACTGGGACAAGCTTGGAGACAACAGACACTCAGGAGGCTGTTGCAATAAAGCGAGTGAGAGATGAGGGCCGCCACTAGGGGTCACGGGAATGAGGAAGATGGCGGAGCTTCAAGACAGATTGAGGAGGAAAAGGTGACTCTGATGGGATGAGAAAGCAAGGAGTCAAAGATGACTTGGAAGTTTCCGGTTTGGGTGACTTGATGGTTGGTAGCTTTGTGGAGAGATTGCTTGCCTCTCATGAGTTTACAGTTTTCCTAAACTTTCTAGGGAGACGTGTTAATCACAAGTGAGGGTGACAGTGCAGCTGTGTTCAGTGTGATCGAGAAGAGGTATGTTATGCTGTGAGAGGGGTCGCACCTGGCCAGAAAGGAGAGCTGAGAGCTAAACACCGACTGGACTTCATTGGTTGGAGGCTTCTGGAAAGGGCACAGGGTCCTAACAGAGAACATAACAAGGGCCTCAGGTAATGTGTCAGCTGACCCCACACATAGTAAGCTTTTCCTACTCACCTGTACTGTCTGTTTCGAGGGAAAAACAGAAATTGGAGAACCCAGACGCCCAACCACACCGCACAGAGAGACAGGGTGTAACATTCCCAGATTCAGTTCAGTCCCAGCTGGTATGAAGCTGTCCCCTGAGCCATAAGATGCTTGCAAACTTGGGTGCCCTGGAACTCCCCATCCCCCAGAACTGGAGAGCCCCCTGATAAAAGATACCACCTGGGGGTGGGAATCGAACCTGCAAGCCCACCATCCTGGTCCTGAAACACTGCTGTTAATACATTAGGCCCCTCTGCCAGGAAGGGTGGCTGCGCCAGAGAGGCTCTTAGCTACCTCTGGAGAGTGTGCCATCAGTGGTTAAAGTGAGAGATGCCCACCAAGGAGCAGATCCTGGAGCTGCTGGAACTGGAGCTCTCCGGCCCATCCTGTCTGAGGGATCCACACTGGGTTCAGTGTCACACCCAGAGGGTGACAAGAGACAGCAACCTGATGGGGGATTTGCAGAGAGCCCAGGAACCAGGAAGCTGGGTGAGAAGGGCCAGAGGAGACTCAGAGAGTGAACACAGGATGGGTGATAAGCTCCTCTCCTTGGGAAAGAGGAGACAGGGAGATACCCTGAGCATATGTTACACCCCTGCTTCCTCTTCCCCCAGGGATCCATATGTTACACCCTGCTTCCTCTTCCCCCAGGGATCCTGTTTCCAAGGCCTCCAACAAGAGTCCACACCATTGATCTGAGGGTCACCTTTATTTTGGCCCAAGAAAAGACCCAAACTTTCAAGGTTTCATGGGCAGCTCGGAGTAGAACTGAAAAGAAAACTAGAGAGCATTTTGTCTAAAACCTCATTTTACTGATAAGGAAACTGAGGTGCAGGCATCATAGAGCTCAGAAATTGGCTGCCTGCAGCACTGAAAATGGAACTTGGCTCTACAGTGCCTTTTCCCCATCCCAGGCCTTTTCACACCATCTCAGGCTGTCTCCTGGTCAGGTTCAAGTGCAGCGGCACGTGTGTGATCAGCTAACTCCTTGTGAAGAAGTAACTTCTGTCTCTCTCAAAAAGACATGGGTCTGGTTGTACAACTTTGTGACTATAATAAAAAAAACTGAACTTTGTACTTTAAAAGGATGAATTTTATGGTATATGAATTATATCTCAATTAAAAAAATTACCTTTGGCGGGCTTCCCTGGTGGCGCAGTGGTTGGGAGTCCGCCTGCCGATGCAGGGGACGCAGGTTCGTGCCCCAGTCCGGGAGGATCCCACATGCCGCGGAGCGGCTGGGCCCGTGAGCCGTGGCCGCTGAGCCTGCACGTCCAGAGCCTGTGCTCCGCAACAGGAGAGGCCACAACAGTGAGAGGCCCGCGTACCGCAAAAAAAAAAAAAAAAAAATACCTTTTAAGGAAAAGAAAAATTGAAATGTATTTTAAAGCTGCAATAAAATATTTAAATGTAATATACAAAATAACGCATCAGAGACATGAAATAATTTATGCTACCAGCATGACTTATTTTGGGGCAGACCTGATAGTAAAGCTGCTTTTGCCTTTTCCGTGCAAAGATATCTTATAAGATGAACTGTTAGAACCATTAGCATTTTTCAACTACTTATCTGTGTGCGTTAGAAGTTTCTCAATAGTGTGCAACCAAAATAAAAATCAAATAAACTGCATGTTAATGTAGGAATGCAGTTCCCAAGAAGATTTTTTAAAATACTGAAAAGATATGTGTCCTGGTTTAGGCACGATTTCCTTCCATAGAACCCACCTGCTGCAAAGGGAAAAGAGTGTCTCATAGTTTCAAATAACTGAGCGTGGGAGAGTTTTCACTGGGGTTTGGGGAAAAGCTATGGACTGAGCAGGAAATCCAGATGAAAAGAGGAGCCGATGCATGTCTCTGGTGGGAGGTGTGCTTCCCGCTCAGCTCCTCCGCCCACCCCTTACTCTTTGGAAGCAAACTTCTCCATCAGAACTTTCTCCTTAGCTCCAGTTTCTCCCTCCTGAGGGCATGTATCTGACTTGTGGTGTGATCCTTGACCTCCGATTCTCAAAATCCTGAATCAGAGAGGACTCTTACCATCCTCTTCCAGAACAGAGCCTGTTTCCCAGGAAATCATCCTGCTCAGTGCAGCATATGCCTCAGAAGTGGACATACAGGGGCATGCGCTCTGGAGGTGTCCGGGTCCCTGATGTGCTCTGAAAACATACCTCACTGGTGGGCTTCTTCCCTGCATTCAAAGGAGTTCAGATGGACCAGTGTTTATGAAGCCTTCATTTGGGGCGTTCTAGAGGCTATATAACATGATCCCCCTCATTCCTGCACCGGCCCATCCAAGGTATTCACAGAAACAACCAGGGCTCCAGGGGCAAAAAGTCTGCATGGCCGGAAGTCCAGCTTCCTAGAACTTAAAACAACTAGGATGCTCCCAAATGAAATGTTGCAGCTTGTGAAGTGGTGAGTTCCCCTGTCTACAAGAATTTCTAACAAGAG